GCTTAATCTTGCAGTTTTGATCACAGCCCAGTTAACAACCTCTAAGAATAAAACAAAGAACAAAAGCATGCCAGGATATACAAAAATGAGCCAGCAGGCAGAGCAGGCAGCCACACTAACTAGCCAGCCATGTTTTCCAATACCTTGTTTTTATTTCCTGCTGGCTCACATTTACTTCCCATCAGTTACAGCAGTTAGAGCCAATAATGCCCAACGTATGTTCCCTAAATATCCAGTCCTGCCTAGGAAATCCAAGCTGTAGCATTGCTTATACCTTTTTCTAGATATCTGGTTTTCGTTTTTACTCATCTCAGAGGATTTCACACCTTAAATTTTCATTTGATTTTGAATAGGCCTGTCTACAACACTGTTGATTCTCTTTCTCAACATAGATTCAGGACTTTGTGTGTGAGGTACCTTCTCGTTATTTCTGATTATTTTATGATACTATTTCTTCCAGCATGTGCAGTCTTTACCAACAGAAAAAATTACCAAGAAACCTATTCCAGATGAGCACCTCATTCTAAAGACCACATTTGAGGATCTTATTCAGCGCTGCCTTTCTTCAGCCACAGATCCTGTATGTATTTTTTCTCATATTTTGCTTAATTAAAGTAATCCTTCATGAAACTCTTTCATAATTACAACTTAAAGTCGTACAAGGTATATTTCTAATAAGCTTATATAAAAGTCATAAAGCTAGCACTTACATAGTTTACATTATATGTAGAAATGTATTTAATTGCTTGTTATGTATAAATGCACTTACCCCTCACAATAACCCTATGGTAGGTAGATTTGTCATTCTTATGTTACAGATGATCAAATTAAGGCAAAGAGCAGTTAAGTAACACCTAAGCTCAGAGCCCCCGTTCAAACCCAGACAGTTTGGCTCCAGAATTTATGCTCTCAACTGCCAAGCTCTACTGCCTCTCATCAACAAACCTGTTTATGTATGGCACATAAATAGAACATATAGTGGTATATGAGAAACTCAGATTTAGGATTTCTTTCTGAGCTTACACTGAAGTTTTTCAGAGTAGATAGATCATCTTCTGTATTTTGCGGAGATCTTAAAGATAGTTAAATGTTTTAGATACTGGAGTCATATTCATATTTACAGCAACTGATTTTATAACACTTAGTTTAGTTAGAGGACATCTGTGTATTGGCAAAAACAAAAATTCCACAAGGCCAGTCTTGTTTTAAATGAAATTTCATGTTCTGTCAACAAACATTTAATGTTTATTTAAGCATTGGCTGCTTGTCTACTTTAAAAAAAAAAGCTTCTGGAATTTGTTGTTTCATCGAACATTGAGTATTAATATGTGCGGCCTTCTGCTAGTCTTGGGGAAGGCAGTTCCCTATACTGGAAGTCTCAGGAAAGCGATAAGCATAGATGCCTGGCATTCTGGGAGTGATGGAAAGACCAAGCTGGAAGCAAGAGAGCAGATGAAACTGGTAATCAGATACATGCTAGCCCTGTAGCACACTCTAAAGAGAGACAGGCCATAGTCATTCAAAACTGGAGGAGTGCTAATAAGAATTGGCACGACTCCATTTCTCCTTCAGGTATGGGTCAGTAGAGAGAGGATGGGAGGACACGTAATATATGGTCCCATAAATTTTTTGTAGAATTTAATCTCCTCTAGATCATCATACGATCTTTCTAGGTACCCAGGAGATCTGGGCAGAAAAAAATGACAAAAGAAAAACTATTCTTGCAATTCCTGCCTAGCTGCCCCTGCACCCTTGGGTTAGGGCTCCTGTTTATAGCTAGATGGGATTAGCTTTGAGCAGGGCCTGTAAGGGTTCTTTTCCACAAGAGTCCATTGTAATCAATAACTGGAATAGTTTTGCAGCGTGGATTTACTGCTTTCACTTCAGTTATGTGTAAATAGCACAAAGTATTTTTGTAGCACAACTTGGTCTGTAATATCATCCTCGATGGCCTCATCTCTTCCGTTCTCCTGTGCAGACACGCTGGCATTCCTTCCTTAAACACACCGAGAGCACCGCAGCGTCAGGGACTCTGTACTTGCTGCTGCTCCTTCTGCCTAGAACGTTTCTCCCACGTGTCTGCATTGCTCCCTCCCGCACTTATTCAAGACGTCTGCTCGAATGTGCCATTAGCCATCAGGACTTTCTTCACTACCCCAACACTTCTAGCTCCCTTCCTCTATTAACTTTTCTCCTTAGCACTTACCACCATCTGACGTAAAATGTATTATTTATTTAGTATCTTTTCCCACCCAGTGGAATATGAGCTCCATGACATACAAGACTTTGTCCCTGGCACGGCACATAATAGGCATTCATAACTGGTTGAAACACAGTGGTGCTTCTAAGCCTTTTGCGTAAGGTAGATCATTACGTTAATTACATTGTAATTTTTTTTTTACATTGTAATTTTAAAACCTTTCATTTCAGTTTTAGAATAGTTTTTCTCGCTATATTTATAATACAAT